GATTCTAAGGCCAACAATCCGAGGGGGAGTTTGTTGGTGCAACCCTATGGCTTGCACTCGGCTTGTCGTCCGTGTTTGTGTGTGTGCATGCATGGCATGGAATGACTTGTGAGTCTATGTCATTGCTATCTAGTGCTTGTGTGTGTGTTTGAATGGTGTCTCACAATGTGGTGTGTGTCGGTCAAGACATTAGTGAGTTTTTACAACTCGCATGTCAAGTCGTCGTTTGCGTGTCGCATGTGTTTTTCTATTTTGTCAAGTGTGAAGTGTCCATCGCGTCGCAGGTGTGTGCAGCAAGCCCCCATCAACTCAAGAAGAATTTATCTTGAAGAACCAAGACCAAGAGCTCAAGATTTCAAGCCCAAGGGACGCGGATAAATATTAAATAGTGAAAATAGTAACGCTACTTCGTGTAGTGTTACATTTCACTTGGTGTAGCCCCTTGGAGGGTTTGTTTTGAGACTCTTCGTGGTTGGGGACTCTGTGGTGGTGTACCACCAACCTGGACCTCGGCTCTTGGGTTATGTAGAGGCTGGGAACCATCTCCCTCTCGAATTCTTCTTCCTAAGTTTTTTTTTGTACTCCTAAGACTATAGTGGCTGCTGTACCTCCTGCCAGTCAAACCGCCATAGCGTCGTCAAATCTTCATGGAATTTTATGATTCAACTTGCTGCTGATAGGCGACAACAACGCGCTCCAGATCCAATTTACACATCACCGTTTGAGGCACACATCAGATCAGCATCAATATTTGAAGCTGGCTGACGGAATTCTGACTGTGCACATTTTCTCTCATTTTAGGCACATCTGAGCCTATTGTGCTTATAACATGTACTTGATGACTTTCACTCGTCCAGATCTCGCATACCCTCTCAGCATCCTGGCCTGCTTTGTGGCCATGCCAGACACCGTCCATAGCACTGGTCGGCTGTTAAGAGGGTTTTGCGTTATCTAGCAAGTACATCAGGCATGGGGCTAGCGCTAGGAGGACGCAGACCAGTGGTCCTTACTGGGCACAGAGACGCTTCTTGGGCAAACGACGCCGAGACTCTGAGGTCCTCCCAGGGCTACTGCTTTAGCCTTCGTACAGGTGCTGTCTCGTGGAGGTCCACCCGCTCGTCGTCCATTGCCCAGTCTAGCTATGAGGCTGAGATCTACGCCAGTGCCATGGCGGCACAAGAGCCCCGCTGGCTGACTTTCTTGCTCACAGGCTTTAAGACGATTCTGCTGATAAGACGATTCGGCGCTGAAAAACCGCTTCCACATCCTTTAAGTGCTGCTCCCGTGTTGTGCTGTAAATCAAGATATCATCCAGATAAATGATTACACAGTTACCAAGTAGATCACGGAATGCCCCGTTCATCGTCAGCTGGAACGTCGATTGGGCATTCGTTAACCCGAACGACATGACAGTGTATTCGTAACTCCCATAGCAAGTACGAAACGCGGTCAGTGGCAGTCGTCGGCGAAGACTTGAAAACGATAATAACCGCCGCGAAGGTCGATCTTCGAGAAATAGCGCCCGCGTCGCAGTTGGACTGGGTAGTGAAATTTTATCGTAACCCGATTCAGGGCGCAATAACAATGCATGTTCGGAGGCCCCCATCATCGCCAGCATCGGCACGCTGAAGCCGAAATTGTCACCACACTTCATGCGAGCAGTTCGCGTTGATCGAGGGTCGTTGATCCCGGCCACGAAAACGATTTCCCTCCTGGGAACCCGATCTCGCGTAGTCTTGATTGGCGTCGTACATGTCGACGATCACCACTGCTTCTTGGAACGTCGTTGGGCGTCGCATCCTCACTTCGTAGCGAACGTCGGATTTGAGCCCCACGATGAAAATATTCCCTTTTTTCAGCTTCTAATAGGTCGGTGATTTGGTCGCACAGTCCCTGAAATGATGACGTGTAATCATGGACGGAGGTCAACTGGCGCCATGTGTCCAGCTTCGTGCGTGCGTTGTCCGGGGCGGATATGGGCTCGAAACGTGCGCACAGAGCTGTACCCCACGCTTTCCATGTGCGAATCTCGGTCGATCCGGAAACTGACGTTGTGTCCTGGGTAGTAGATTCCAAACTCCCGAAAAAGCCCCTGAGTGTTCCATGCTAAAGTCCCCGTCTCACTTAGTGTCGATCGCCACCAATCAAGAGTAGCAGAGCAACCAGTTTGATTTTTACTGTAAATCATCAACAGTAATCCCGACATCATTGAAATAAAGCTCCATCGCAAAAAGCCAGCCCGTCATGGTGGTGTTTTTGTCCATGGGGTTAAAAAGGGGTGGCATCGGCGACTTTATATTGGCCACTGGTACAGTTGGTGTGGCTGCCGCTGCTGCAGAAACTGTTATTGCTGTTTCGGAGTGGGCGGCGGCCGTTGTCGCATCTGCTGCAGCTGCCGTGGCATGTGCAGCAGCCCATCATGGTGCTCTTGCGACCAGGGCTGATTTTATCAGACTATTTTAGTCTGATTGTCTGAAATTTCAGACCTATTTTTTGCCGATCCTGATTTTTCAGACTTACCAATTTCTGAATGCTGAACCCTTCAGAGTTATATGTTTTTGAATCCTGAGGATCTCAGACTTGGCACTTTGTGGATACTGAGTTTTCAGAGCACAGTGCGTACGGACCCTGAGACAGACATACCTACCTGCCCTCACCCAAAATTTTCGTCCAAATCCCCAACTGCCAGAGTCAAGTCCTTTCACACACCCCGCCCCGCAACCTATAAAATATGGCAAAGTCCTAGCAGACAGAGACAATTCCCCCCAGCACAACCAGCGGCGCGTAAAAATTGTTGAAGTCCTGTTCTAGAGACACCCCTCTCACACCCCCAACACCCACAAAAGACTGACTATGTGACTGAAACTCACATACTGCACCTACCTGCCCTGATCCAAAAAAATTCGACTAATTTCCCAGCCACCAGAGTCAAGTCCTCTCACACACCTAGCAACTTATAAATTTCGGCCAGAGACAGTTTCCCCGCACACCCAGCAACCCATAAAATTTGTTGAAGTCCTGCTCTAGAGGCACCCCTCTCACACCCCCACCTACCCACGAAAATCGGCTAAGTCTTCCATTTTTAGGGACATTCTTTCCACAGCCCTTTCGCCTTTATTTTTTCTTTTCGAAGTTCTCTCAGGGGCTGACACAAGTCCCTCGACAACCAATCACACACTTGCAAGGACAGCTTGTAGACAGACTTTCGATTCGACGTGCTTCGGGGCGTGTGTCTACGTGACATAAGGAACACGCTAACTCGTGTCAATTCGTAATTGACAGGCGAATCTGACGGGCAAAATCTTGAATGAAGCGAAGTTGCCCGACAATGTGTCGCGTAAGAACACGCCTTCACAATGTCGGCTTTGCGATACGTCACAACAAGCTTGGCCTCGGCATTTGCAGAACGCGAGTGCTTCGGAATATGTGCGTTAATATCCCATGAATTTATGAAATTTATGGGGGAAATGAACCAGCCCCCACGAAGTTTTGCACGTCATCATACTTGCACACTCGGAAGTGGAGAACTTTGTGGGGGAACTTGAACTTGGGGGATTGAACAGGTGTCGGGTTCCCACTGAGAGCCACATTAGATAAGGGGCCACGTGTGTGTGTACAGACTCCGTCAATCTACGTAATCATTTACGGCCCTTGTTTTTCCGTCAACTTAGACGCGTCGACTCTGATTCGACATTTTGAACCCTGGGTATTTCAGACTAGTCAACTTTTGGATACTGAGATTTCATATAAGGCAAATTTTGGAAAATGGTCCTTCAGACTTGCGGAATTTTTTTGGGGGTAAAATCAGAGTGCCCTTTTTTGAAACGTCAGCGCAAGCTGCGACACTTCGCGTGCGATTTCGTCCAACACTGCTTCGACATGTCCCGTGCTGGCGGCGTTCTCGGGGGCGGGCGACTTCTGGCGCGTAACCTCTTGCGCCTGGCGAAGCTCGGATACTTTGGCGCGAAGTCTCTCGTTGTCGTTTAACATAGCTTGTAGGCGAGCGTTCGTGGTGGCGAATTTCGCCAACAACGCGTCGAACTATGCCTGGTCCATGTGGCGGACACTGTCAGAAACCCAGTCACTAACCACTAGGTTAAAAGGGCTTGTTGAATAGCGGGTAAGTGCGCCCATAGCCCCCCCAGGCTCTGCACCTGTGGCCCTTCCCTGAGGATCTCAAGGGCAACCCCAGCGGGTCACTCAACAGACACTACGCCGGGTGGGCAGGGGAATATACGTGATTACCCGTGCTCAGGTAAGAGTGCAAACGTTATCAAAGTCGGGCGAATTAATTCGTCTAATTCGCGGCCGACCGCTTTGCAGCTCAGTGAGCGAATCACCTCCCCCCCCCCCCCCCCCCCCCCGAAAAAAGTTTTCCGCCTATGGAAAAAGTAGGTCCGGAAAGTAGCTATGAAGACTAGAGTATTTCACCAGAGTAGCGCGGAATCGAATGTCGAGGCCCAGAATGTGGTACCGGTACAATGGAAGGACGAAGCAAGATATAGGAACACCAGAGAAATCCTAGCCGCGTGATCGAACAGGTTCGTAGAAGGCATCTGAGGACGCGGAGCGCTTTGGAGTGACGCGGAATGGTTCGGCGTCGTGTGTATGGGCCAAAGTTAGGGCAGGTGTCCGTGCGGTGTGGGGTTGGGGTACACGTTAGCGGTGTGGCACGCTAATGAATGGAAAATTCCTTACACACACATACATCAAAACCACAACTACCCTTACCCTCTGTCTTGAATGTCTGCTGAAACAGCCATTTCCAAAATTGCCAGCATCAGTAGATGATTGTCAAATGCGTAGCACACAAGCTCTGCGAATGAGGATGGGTGTTACGGTTGGCTTGCAATTGGGGTTTAAATCTTTGAAAGCACACTTTTACAAGCCTCTATGTCACAAAAGAACTCGTATGATGTTGCAAATGCTAGTGCTTTGGGATACCCTTCAAAGAAGCTATGCAAAACCTAGAGAGTCTTGTCGACAGCCGACAGCTGGCCTCATGGGTTGCTTGAGAGCCCTCCACTACTGCGAGCGCCCTGGGCACGAGCAATCTCCATACTGAGATTGGAATCCGTGGAGGTCTCCAGCTCACGGTCGATCCTGGCGGCCATGCGGTCCTCCTCCTGCCCCAGGAACTCCTCCTTCATCACCAACAGCTCGCCCAGCACGCGGCTGATGGAGGGGCGGGAGGCCGTGGGCATGGCGGTGCAGCTGAGGGCCAGCTTCGCCATGCGCAGCACCAAGTCGTCCGGCGCCTCCAGCTGCGGGTCCTTGAAGGCCGCAGCATCGCCGGCTGCCAGCAGAGGAGCCACCTGCAAAAGGCGGGGCACAGGAGGGATAGAGGAGGGACATGGGGGCAAAGTTGGATATGGATGTGGATGAAGTTTGTCATTTTGCAAACGTGAAAGCAAACAAGTTCGTACATAGGTTCATGAAGTAAGGTAGGGAGTGCAATACGCGGTGAAGGCCTTACCCATTGCTTGAGGTTGAACTGATCTGAGTCCACGTTGTAGATGGCCTTGCGAGCTGTGATGAGCGTCAACATCACCACTCCGAAGCTGCAAGAGAAAGCAACGAATAGGTTAGCCATGAATGGTTCAGTAGGACACGCAAACTTCATTGTCCTACAAAAAGGTTGATGGTTGTAATACCTCCACACATCACCCGTCCCTTCACACATCAACCAAACTTGCTCACATCATCCATACCTGCTCACATAACCCATACCTGTTCATATCATCCATACCTGCTCCCATCACCCATGCCTGCTCACATCACCCATGCCTGCTCACATCACCCATGCCTGCTCACATCACCCATGCCTGCTCACATCACCCATGCCTGCTCACATCACCCATACCTGCTCACATCACCCATACCTGCTCACATCACCCATACCTGTGCACATCAGCCTTAGGCGTTGCCTTCTGTGACTTGTAGTAAGCGGGGTCCACATAGCCTGGTGTTCCCATCACTCGAGTGGCAATCACTGATGTGCCCTCGCCATGCCTCACAAGCCCAAAGTCTGCAATCTTGGCCTGCGATGGTGGGGTCCGAGACCATTGAGTGGAATCGTTGAATGCTTGAAAAGGAGATGACATTTTACAGAACGAACACGAGTAAAGCTCCGCTCTCCTCATTTTTCGTACCTGCATGTTCTTATCCAGCAGGATGTTGGCAGGCTTGATGTCGCGATGCACAATGCCAAAGCTGTGCAGGTACTCGAGACCACGGGCCATGCCAATGAGAATGTCCAGCCGCACACGCACAGACAGGGGATAATTACTCCCTGCATTCACAGTGCGAGCATTATGCAAGTGTGACACAGAGTGCTGAAGTGCGTGTAGAATGAAACGGAAATGAGGTGCACAACGAAAACAGGTTGCATATGTAAAATGCTTAGATGATACCCCATGCATGCCCTATAAACCCCAGCAAGCTAGGGTCATGGGTGGAAGCGAGTGCTCACGGGGGCCGATCCAGCGGTCGAGGTCGCCGTTGTCGACGAACTCGTAGATGACGATCTGCTCCATGCGCTCCGTGTCCGGGCTGATGTCGAAGCAGTACCCCATCAGCCGCACCAGGTTCGGGTGGCTCTTCGTCGCCATCTCGTTCACCTATGGATGGGGGGGGGGGGGGGGGGAGGGGGGAAGGGGTCGAGGGATGGATTATGGGGAGGTGGGGAAGGGGTAAGTGAACTGGTGGCTCTTCGTCGCCATCTCGTTCACCTGCATCCAGGAGTGGGGCAGGGAGGGATGGTGTTAAGGAGTAAGTGGAAGAAATGTAGGGCAGGAATTATAGCAAGAGGCGGGGAGAGAAAGGGTGCAAAGGTGAAAAGTGTTGCGTCTGCACACGAGAGAAGGTGAGATTTCACACGATACCGGCATTGCCCTGATATTTATCGCACTCATCTAGCTGTTCCGCCAGGGCCGCACCTCGCGCTTGAAGTCGTTGGTGAGGACCTTGGCGCGTTTGACGGCCCAGATCTCCTCCGGCAGGTCGGGGTTGGCGCCCTTGTACACATCCCCAAAGCTGCCGCTGCCAATGCGGTTCGCCTCGGCCCACTCGCCCGTGGCTGCTGCAACCTCCCCCAGCGAGTACTGCCGGCACACCTGCGGCCGCGCCTCTCCCGCTGCTCCCCCTGCGCCCACATACCTCCCCGTTACACCCATGCCTCCTGCTGCTGCTGCTGCTCCCCCTGCTGCAACGGCTGCGGCATGAGCTGCTGCTGCTACCTCTGCGGAATGAGCAGCGGATGACTGCCAGGGCCACCTCCAACCGCCTCCTGTTCGAGCTGCCACTCCAGGCATGTCCACACCCACTGCTGCTGCTGCAGCTGCTGCTGCTGCCCCTCCTGCTGCTCCAGCTGCTGCTCCGGCCACCGCTGCTGTGCTTGCTGCTGGTGCTGCCGATGCTGCAAAAGCGGCGTCTCCGGGTAATGCTGTTTCTGCCACACTCCCACTGCCCTTTCTGAAGAACCACCATCCACTAGCACCCTCCGTACCAGCACTATCAGCAGCGGCCTTTGCCTCTCCCCCCTCCTCCCTCTCCGCGTCACTGCCTCCCGCTTCCATCACCGCCACCTCCTCCGCTTCCTTTCCCTCCCTCTCCTTCCTCTCCTTCTCCCTCTCCTGCTCTATGCGGATGTAAGTCAGGTACACAATGAGAAGCAGAAGAGGAACGAAGACAACAGATGCGCACACAATGGCTGCGATTTCTCCCTTGCTTAGGCGACGGTAGTGGTTGAATCTGATGGTTGCCACTGGAAAGGAAAAGCACGAGAGGCAAAGGGAGATGGGAGGTACGAATTGTGCGAATGGAGGTGTGAGATTCAGAGGGGGTTGAAGTTTGAGGCACCTCAAAAGGGGTGACTGATGGGTGAATCAGGAAGAAGCATTGAGACGTGGGAGGTAAGAGCACGAGGTGTTGCAAACAAGGTCTAGATCCATATCAGCAGTAGCTATCACAGCAGAACCTCTTGCAGGAAAACCGCTTGTGGCAGGAACAAGTAGGAGTACGCGAGCATACTGTATGAAGGGTTGCATGTGGCGCAGAAGCTCTTGCAGAAGTTGCAGAACGGGCTGTATTCCAACTGATACTGCACGCAGTCCCCCTCGTTGAGCGGGCACGTAAAGTTATTCCAGTCAATGTTTCTGGCACGCCATGGGGCGGGAACGAGGGAACCATGGAGAGATAAGGAGCCACGTGCAGGACAAATACGAAGACTCGGCTAGCAAGACTAGACAAGATGCTTAGCAAATGTTAGACCACATGAGTGAGTCATGCCACGAGGCAGGGTTATCATGTAGTAGGGTATCCAAGTCGTAGCAATGTTGAAGGCACATTTAAGGGCTCCCGAGCATCATACTACTGCATCCTATGCTCTATCTCTCCTTCTCTCTCTCTCTTTCGTGCTACTCGCTCTGGTTTGGAGTAGCTCTTACAATTTACCACGTGCCCCCAAGGAGGCAGGAAGGACACCGGAGAGCTGGTTGTCTTGCAGGTTGCTGGGCGAGTTGGGAGGGGAAAGATGGGGCATGGAGCACGGAACACTTTTTTAAAAAAAAGGGGGGGGGGTGTGGGGGAGGGGGAAACTAAAACGGGTGGAATTTAAAAGGGTCATACGGTGAAAGTTCACCTCCATAGCGCAAGGACTGAAGGCAACTACTAGCTGATTGTACCAAATTTTGTAGGCAAATACGGCGAAGAACGCAATAAGTTCGCTGCCAATATTGCGATGCTAGCAGCAGCGAATCACAACCGTGCTTTTGCTCTCTGACCCTGGGGAATTCGTAGGCATGCTCACAGAGTGATAGAGGAGCCGGAGATGCCGTTGAGGAAGCTGGGGCTGTAGCTGGAGCTGTCTCCGTAGCCGTAGTAGTAATTGGATGGTGGTCCCACTGAGGGAATGCTCCCAGTGAGCTGGTTCTTCGAAAGGTCACTGCACATGCGGGCGTGTCGAGACAGGGAACAAGTACAAAAGTAGGCAAATGCTAGCCTCTTCAGAACTCTTATGCCAACTCTGCTACCCTTAGTTACTTTCTGAGCCTGTTTTCGCGAATCGGGAACGAAATCTTCACTATCTGGTGGTTCTTTCACCACCCGTCCCTCACGTATGTGCACTTACGATAACTTCTGGAATATTGTGCAGCGAGTTCGGCAGCATTGAGGAAACCGACAATGCTTGTGCAGCGATGGACAACATGCGAGAAAAGAGGCAAGTTCTCGTGGGCTCTTCCCCGAAGCAACTTACAAGCACTTCAGAAAACGCTTACAGGTGAGAGAGCTGTGAGAGCCGTAAAATCGCCGAAGGAATGCTCCCAGTGAGCTGATTCTTCCATAGTTCACTGTTCACAAGATGTTGGGAGAGGAGAGAGGGCGAGGAGGCAGGATGATGGCAAGAGGAAGATACTACGACTACAGTAGCGTTGTTACTTGCTTGGCCCATGAAAAACACCCGTGGGATATGACAAGAGCACTCACAGCTTTTTTAGGGAGGTCAGGGAGGAGAAGGAGTCCGGTATCACTCCAAGGATCTTGTTATCTGCAAGGGACCTGCAATGGCACACGCCAGAGCGCGCACTCAGTTGGGAAGCAAAGCAGTGTGCCCTTGGAATGGACACATTGTGTTGGCCCAGCCCGCTACCGACTGGCTCGTATTACGGCCGGTACTCCCAAACAGACGGCGACACGGACACAATTGGGAGATGGAAGAGGGATAAACAAGTCGAAATGGCGTCGGCGTGTCAGATCGCAGACTGTCAGATCACCAATGTTGGTGGGGCACTGGGATCGTCCTAGTTGAGTGTGGGAGGGCTACAGGTCCGTCCTGAGGGGTAATGGGTGCGCTACCCACCACAAAAAACATGCCCTTTTAACCCATTCGGTAGCGGGCTGGGCCAACAACCAAAACAAGGCACGCCATGCTGATGACGCTTGCAGTACGCAGATGCAAACCGCAGAATGGTGGTACGTACATTCTTGTGAGTGCAGTGAGCTTGCTGATGTTGTACGGAATGCTGCAGCCGGCAAGACTGCGAGAACTGAGGTCCCTGCAAAGCCAGTTAGCAAACGACAGGGATGCCATGCCAATCATCGCATGTGGCACCATGCGGATGCGGCAATCCAAACAATTGGATCGACAGCCGCTGCTAGTACTAGTATCAGGGTGCTACTAACAGTAGGCGGCGTATAGTGAGTTCATCATGCCGCGAAAGTCGCAGTCAACGCCACGCACGGACCAGCAGTCAATTTAGAGACGTAGTGTCGTATCCTTACAGCGTCGTGATCATGCCGTTGCTGTCGCAACTAACGCCCGAGATAGAGCAGTAGGGCGAGCTGGAGGATCCCGAGAGGCCACACGAAACGAACTGATCCATCACCTGGGCTGCTGACGGCAGGGGGGACAGTCGTCATGATGATCATTTAGAGGGGCTGAACGGATCTGGAGGGAATGACACGATGGTGCCACTGCTTGCGAGGTGAGACGAGGAAAATTATTGATATCCATTCGAGCAACCTGAGAGTATTTCTGTTCGAGCGTCTCGTTTGTTCCGAAAGACGTACTTGTTTCCTCGCTCGCACCTTGGGTTGGATTGCACGACGAGCAAGAGGAGTAGCTTGAAGAGTAGGAGCCACAGGAGTAGTAGCAGCTAAATTCCGCGTTGGCAGGACGCGTCACCGCCAGCAAAACGAGTAGAGAGAGTGTAAAGGCGAGACGACTGAGGCACTCCATGATGACGCAAACTTGAAAACACGTGTAACATGTGCTGCCGCCGACGATGGGAAACGAATATCTGACGATTCTCAGGAACAACGATGCTAAAAACCACTCCACACGATTCAAAACTGCTGGCTTTTGAAGTGGGCTTGCAGTTTCTTGATACGAAATGTCATCGCGAAGGTAGTAGGGTGAAGGCCGCGGGCTCAAGCTGGGCTCAGACTACAAGGGAAGACTAGGACAGAAGTTGGGGAGGGAGTGGGAGAAGGTGGTGGCGAGGGAGGGGGAGGGTGGATGTGTGGGGGCTGGGGCCGCGCAGATTTGGCGTGGTGGATGGCTGCCGATCCGCGGGCATGCAGTGTTTCACTTCTCCCCTCTGGCATTGGACATTCTCTTGCTGCTGGGGTTGAATGTCGAACGGACGGCCGAGATGGAGCCAGCAAGGAGGTATAAGATGACTGAGTGGCAGATTGTGGTCTATCTAGGAGATTCTTCTGCTAGCGGCGAACCCCTTGACTACGCAACGAGCGCGATTGACTTGGAACGACGCTGCCTGTCTCGTCTCGTCAGCCTAGCGGGAAAGCTGCCAACAAGACAAACCATTCTGGGTACCCCTTGTTGGCGCTGAGACGCCCAATCCGTGCACGCCACATGCGTTCGCGATGGTTGGATACCAGCAAAATTTGAACAGCACGTACTAACAATAAATATACTATCCTTCTAAGATGCATTCTTTTCCTCGTACTACCACACTCAGGTGTACCATCCTAGGGCCGCAAGATCACGATAAAGCTGTTACCATTGAGACAGGACAGGGGAACCAAACGTTTGAAGTCAAGCTGAGGCATGCCCTTGTGCTCTTCCACACTGGAAGCTTCACACTCCCTTTACGACTGAACGAGCCTATGCTCAAGGCACATCTGCGCCAGCAGCTCAAGCCACCTGTTCAGTGATCCTCTCAGGGTAGCTGGCCCCTCACCATTACCTCATGGTTTGAGGTGATCGATGTCGAGAGACTTGCCGGGGTTGCCCTTGAGATCCTCGGTGAAGGGCTACCGGCCTCTCTGCCTGGGTTGTAGGCGCACTGACCCCCTACTTAACACGGCAGGCGTGTTCTTGCACTGCCTTGTGAGCTGCTGCTCTAGCAGTTCCAAGCATCTCGTCAAAGATCCTCTCAGAATGATCGCCACCATCATCTCATCGACCCTGACTGTTGTCGCTACTCTTCAATCTCCCCCTCCCACCTCGACTCTCGAATCCATATGAACTCCTTGATAGCACTCTTTGACAGCACTCTTTAACAAAGGAATTATTAGGTTCCAGCAAGTGCAAGTGGATGCCGTTTGAAAGTGTTGTGATCAAATCGTACTTAAGCATTTCTGTAAGTAGTTCCGATAGATATTGTCGAGTTACACTGTAGTTAGCATCTGTAGAATGACGTCAGCTAATAGCGCTCGTCTGGATGATTACGTCAGCAAGCCGTTTCAATCACGCGAACTGTCGCGCTCTTTTCAGTAGCGGTTAGAGCGCATAGCGCAAATAGCCCGAACAGGTACATCACCGAATATGTACTTCTAGTAGATATAAAAGTAGCTTGTACAACTTCAATTGCTAACTTGTTCTTCAGTAAATTCTGATCAACACTTTACAAGTTCTAAGACTTCCGCTATCTTACTAGTCTACCATTCCAACAAAGATCATTGGTTAAGTCTTCCTAGGTTGTAACTATGACTCTGGTGTTACAACTTGTTAATACTGGCTGTTACTGGAGGTACTTCCAGTATTACTTTCTACTTCGAGTACTTGCACCTGCTTATTCTTCACTTGGGATGCCGCAACAGCAGCAAGGATTGCCTACTGTGCATCCACCAGGGACTTCGTTATCTGCACCTGCAACATCACAGCAACAAGCAGCAGCACTAGTAACAACAAGTTTCAGTGGTATGAGCATTGATGGTTCCAGCTATGCAAGAGATGCGGCCGCTCCAAGCTCCAGTTCTTCGTTTGCGTTTACACCTGCTCAACATCAACAATTTCAATTTCTTCAACAATAGCACCAAGCGCAACAACAGTTTCAGCAACAACAGCAACTTCAACAACAACAACAGCAACCGCAAGAGCAGCTTCCGCAACAGCAGATTTCTTTCACTGGCCCTGTCTTTCAGGCTCCGAACCTTTTAAGCAATACACAGATCAAGACAACTATACCTTTTAATGGCGCTGACTTCTACGCTTGGAGTTTCCAATTCGAGCTCCTCACGAAATCCGCTGGATTATGGCCGTTCTTCAGTGGCGATTATTCGTATCTTGTTACGGGAACATAGATGGAACAACAGAGTTTTCTTCATGCTTCACCCAGCGCTTACACCGTTCTCATCCGCAATCTATCGCCGAAAGAGCAGCTTGGTATACGGTCTCTTCACACAAGTTTGACTCCAGCAGAATCTGCGTGGAAGCATTTGAAGGATTATACATGGCACATGATACAATTTCCGTGAGTAAAATTCTCTCACAACTGACAATTGTACAGATGCAAGGCAACGAGAACGTTTCAGATTATATCAACCGGGCTCTAACACTTCGTGACCAATTGGAAAAGTGCGGCGGATACTTCCCAAAGGACATGTTTGTAACAGTCCTTCTTGCCAGTCTTGGAGCAGAATGGCGGCAGTGTCGATCTCTTCTTCGTCTTCAACCAAATCCTTCAGAAACAGAAATATGTTAAATCCTTCAAGCAGAGCAGGAAGATCTTGACCTGCACACAGCACGTAACAAAAGGGGAGCAATTAACATCAGTCTTTATTCAACGCCCACGAAACGTGTCAACAAGTTCTTCTGTCACTACTGCAAAAAGAATTGACACTGCATAAAATTTTGCAACAGGCTTCAAGCTGATAGGAAAAGAGGAGTGCAGTAGCAATCGCAGCAGTTCAAGCAAGCCGTGAAGCAGAATCCACCAACAACAACTCCTGCAACATCAGGAAAACAAGTTTTCAGCTGTGTTACAACAATTCATACAACAGACTCAGATTTCGATGATGAAGACGACGAAAACTCCATCGAGCAACCTGAGAACATGATTTTACCTCAAGTATATGCTAATCTTGCTGGGGTTATCGCAGGACCAAACATTTGGTATCTTGACAGTTGTAAGCTTTCTGCATAAGTGTGTATCGAGTTGAACCCGGAAAGTGACTTGGAAAGCGTTCGTGCGGAAGATTTGCAGTTGTGCACGTGGTGCAGACTGCTGGTCTTGATGACGGCTTCATCTCAGTTCCATCCGGTAATAGTAAACTATTTTTGTCAAGAACTGAAGCTCGGATAGTATGATTAAGTATTCACGGTGAAGGATGTCCTAACCTTTGATGCCAAATATTTTATGTTGCTTTGTGTTCTGTTGATCGCAGATAAAAGGAGAAAACGCATGTGATTCTTTGAGGTGGCCAGGAACGAAGCGAGTAAGAGGTAACTTCGTGGTTGTAATTTCCACATTGAGAACTTCTTCCGGTTGAAGAACTAGTTCCCCTTCCTCAATTTCTGTTTCTGTTGAATCTGCTGCAGGTTGACCGATGAGAACCCCTGTTTCTGCTTCACCGCTACTCTGCTGCTCTGCTTCCTCTGCTTCACTGCTGCTGCTGGGTCCCCAAGGTTGTGTAGGTTTATTTTCAAGTTGTTGTAAAGTGTCGTAGTAAGTCCTCCATGCTGACGTATCTTCCTCTGCTATGTTTGTTGGCCAGGAATCAAGAGCCGTTATAATCGCTGCTGCTGTACGAGATCCTTTTGGGACTGCAGTTGCACTAAAGTCGATGCCAACTTTCAAAAAGTCAGTTTCGTTGGGATGTTGTCAAGGTCCAAGAGATAACACTCTCTCAGAAGATCCAGTAGTTCCTTGCTACTCGTATTGAAGAACGGAGACCCCATACTGAGTGGCGGCTCTCCCGATGTAAGTATTTGTATCATTGTGATAAAGTTCCTGGTCCATTGTCTCACAATTGCCTTGTGTCCTGATCTTATGTCGCAGGAGTTGAGCCGTTGAAAGAAGATCCAATCCAAGTCCGGCGATGATAAGGACATTTGTAACGTGTAAGGAAAAACCTGTGTCCACCAAATCCAACATGACGCTGCCGATTGACCTTGCCATTATCGTTTGTCCATTTGCGACTGTGACAGGTACTGGAAGTCGAAGCGGACGCTGATGAGTAATAAAGAGCGTCTTGGCAGAGCATATATGTTGTCCACAACAACTGTCAAGATACCAAGTGTTTGCACCTGCAATAACTCGAGCAAGGTTAGCATATACTTGAGGTAAAACCATGTTCTCTGGTTGCTCAATGGAGTTGTCGTCGTCGTCATCATCAAAATCTGATTCAGTTGCATCAACTGTTGTAACGTAGCTGAATACTTGTTTCCTGGTGTTGCAGGAGTTGTTGTCGGTGGATTCTGCTTCACGGGTTGCCTTTTGTTAAATTATATACGTTCGTATATAATTGTAGGCTTGGTAGACGTTTGTGAACATTACTGTAGAGGGTACAACACCCCTCCTTGTATCCCTCTCTCTTCCTAGTCATCCCTCTTTTCTCTCGTCAAATCTCCCTCTCCTAGTCCTCCTAGCTACTAAAACCTCACGCCACTTTCATGGCGTCCTAGTCTAGTAGTTTCACACCTTTAACTGCTGCTGCACTCCTCTTTTCCTATCAGTTTGAAGCTTTTTGCAGAATTTTATGCTGTGTCCATCCTTTTTGCAGTAGTGACAGAAGAACTTGTTGACACGTTTCGTAGGCGTTGTATAAAAGCTGATATTAACTGCTCCCTTTTTGTTACGTGCTGTCTGCACGTCAAGATCTTGCTGGTTTGCTTGAAGGATTGAGCTGATTTCTGTTTCTGAAAGATTTGGTTGAAGACGAAGAAGAGATCGACACTACCGCCATTCTGCTCCAAGACCGGCAAGAAGGACGGTTACAAACATGTCCCTTGGGAAGTATCCGATGCACTTTTCCAATTGGTCACGAAGTGTTAGAGCACTGTTGATATAATCCGAAACATTCTCGTTGCCCTGCATCTGTACAGTTGTCAGTTGTGAGAGAATTTTACTCACGGAAATTGTGTCCTGTGCCATGTACAATCCCTTCAAATGCTTCCACACAGA